CCCCCCCCCCCCCCGGGACCTGCTTTATCTCCTAGGGGGTCTTGGGATTATGGCGGCACCCTGTGCTCGGTCCCAGGACTGAACTGGCTAGTCTGCGAGATGGCGGCGGCTGCCGACGCCGCGCATGGCAGAGGGCAGAGGAGGGCCGAGCTGGGAGGGAAGGACAGGCCGGAGAGAGAAGCTGTGAAGCATGTGTCTACCCGCAGGCTTGCCACCGAACCCCGTGCATTTGCTTTGCATCTGCGGTTCTGCAATAGAAGACAGAATGATAAAAAATTCAGAGAGAACTGAAGAAATGTGGAAAACGGATGGAGCCACCGAGAGGGGTGGGGGAAGGCAGCGAGGAGTGCCCGGGAAAAGAGTTTTAAGGAAAACATGCGGTCATAGCATGATCTTTTGGCTCTGCAAAGATCATGATCATTGACCTTTACGTGGTGGTAATGTCAGAGCCGACTCTTGATGGGAATGTTGACGAGACCGTGTTGGAATGACAGGAGTAGCGGGACGGGGGGCGGTGGCGGTGAAAGAATCCCTCCCCCGGCAGGAAGTGAGTGACGCTTACGATAGATGAATCGGGAAACAGAAGTGTGTGAACATGGTTTGGAAGTAGGAATCTGTGGAAGGAAAGAACAGCTGAATGGTTAAAAGTGATTGCTTCTGGGATCAGGACTGGGAAGGGCAGGGGCTGTGGCTTTTTATTGTCTTTTGGTTCTCTTAATGTCACATGTATTATTATGTAGATCAAAACATTTGTAAAAGAGAAGTTCTCATTTCGTAATGTGTAAACATATCGAGTCACTGTGCTGTGCACCTGACACTCATAGGATGTCATATGTCAACTGACTTCAAAAATAAATAAAAGAGCAGTTCTGCAAGTCAGAGGACTGTGATTTCTAGACAGGAACTTGAGAAGCTCATCCAGTGCAGTCTCCCACCTTCAGAGCTGTTAACGCCCGAGCCCAGGTAGCCCTTCAGAATGTCCTGCTCAGCCCCCCAAAGAAGTGGCCAAAGGAGAAACAGCGTGGTTTGTGCTGCTTGGCGAGTCGGGCTTCAGAGTGACAGAGGCTTTGGGAAATGCTCAGAGTGTTGAAAGACTGTCGTGCGCCCTCTGTGGCGTCTCCCACTGAGGCCCCAGGGGCAGCTGGAGTAGGGGCCAGGAGACCCCCCAGCCCTGGCCTTGCTCCTGCTTCGCTGTAGGGTCCGTGAGCCGTGACCCTCCCTGGCCCTGGTTCCCACCTCTGGACGGTCAGAGCTTTGAGTTTTTCAAAGGGCCTTCACAGTTCTATGTTTCTGGAACTATAAATGACAGCAAATAGCTTTCTGTGCCCTGGGCACAGCAGGGAAACAGAGCAGGAGATGGATGATAAACGCATGAACAAGAAAGATACTCTGAGACAATGTAAGTCGTGCAGAGAGAATAACCCTGGGGTGGGAGAGAGGGTGATGGCGGGGCAGAGCTGGGGGCGGATGGGGACCCTACAGCAGGGCCAGCTGCAGGAAGAAGGGAGAGAGCGTGCTCAGGGGCCCGAGACCCTGCCAGTCTGCAGAGTGCTGAGCCCCCAAGGACAAGGGGACGCAAGAGGGTCAGCACTCAGTATGACATTTCCAAGGGAAAATTAATTTCTCTGAATGGCAAGGATAAATTCAACCCTGTTTGAAGGTCAGTCTACATTCAACACCTGGCCCAGGGAGATGTATGTTTTTTTCTTCAGTATCTCCAGAGAGGGGCTGAAGAGCCCTTCACTGGAACAAAACCTGGGTGTGCCAGGGAAGGAATGGGCACCCCTGGGAAGGGGCCGAGCAGACAGCAGAGGCTGGGCTGTAGTAGAGGCCAGACTTATACTCCCCAGGGCACTGAGGGATGCTAATAAGGGAGACATGCCATCAGGGCTTCCCCACCCACCCAGGCCATGCGAAACGGTTGCTCCAGTACTTTATGCCCTCTGAGACCCTCCGCAGATCAAGGCTGGCACAGCACCAACTGTGGTCATACCCTTCTCTGTAAATCCGATTTAATTTAATTAAAAATTAACAGTAAACATACATATCCTTCAACTCAGCACCTCTACTTCTAAGACTCTGTCCTTCAGATACACTAAGTGTTCAAGAAGGAAGTGCAAGGATGATCACCGGCAGGTGTCGTTGGAGCAGCAACAAGTCTAGAAATGACCCACGTGGGCATCGTTGGGTACATTGTTCCAGAGCCCCCGGGCAGCCATTGTGAGGGGCATTCATCTGCTCTGGGAAAGAACTGTCTCTGAGGGAGGAAGGAGCCATTTTTAATCCCTCTTAAAGGTTCATGGGCCCGCCTCTGATGGTGAGTGAGTTCCTCCAGCGTCTAGGTGAGCTCATGGGCAATGTTCTGAGTCCGCAGGTCCCATCACTGACTTAGCCGTTTTGTAGTTTCCTGGAGACGTGAATTGCAGACGTCACCACAGGCGAGTACTGAGCAGAGGAACCAACTTCTCCATTCCCTAATTTTCCTGGATGCCTAACAGTTCAAACCAGTCTGTAGCCACCCTTGTGTGCCCCTAGACCTTTCTCTTCCGCTGGTCTCAAGACCTTATTTGGCCTCTTGTGAAAACTTACCTTTTGCCTGCAGGAGCGCATTCCTAATGTCTGGAATTCCAACTGAAATCACTCCCTGGTGTTAAAACAGTGCCTCCCAGACATTAGGCCCTTGGGAACGACGGTCAGGATTTTTGCTAACACTGCAAACCACCTGTCCTTTTATGTATACAGTATTTTCCTTAAAGGCTCACTTGTAGAACTTCAATACATTTGTTTTAAAAGGATACTTTATATCACTACTACAGCTTATAAAAAGAAAACCTTAAAAGCAAATGTAATAAATTCTAGATGACATTGTTAAATTTCTAGCTACACTCTATGGCCTGACCAAACTTTTGCTTTTTTTTTTTTTTTTGGGTAGTTAAAAGCCTTTTCCCCCCCTTTTTAGAAAGTTCTAATTAAATGTCCTTATGCATTGTGTCATTTGAGCTGGACAGTATATAAAGCCATTATCACCCTGCATGCAGTTTGTGGCCCTGCCTGATGAGGTTGACATTTTGGCATTCCAGCTGATATTAAAGGAACATGGCATTCAGTGTGGTACAAGAACCTTTTTTTTTTTTTTTACAAGCACATCTATTTAGAAGCAGCAGATCTATTTGGAGGCAGTGTATAATGGCAGCTAGGAATGACGCAGGCCTAAACAAAGGGGGATTTGTCCTTTTAAAAAGAATTGGAACACTCTCTGAGCTGGTTCATGGGGTCCTTCCTAGTGACGAGGTGCAGAATCGCAGTGGGATTGCCCAGACGGAGCTCTGTAGCCACACAGCTCCTGGCTCACTGTTAGCAAGTCCTGGGTCTCAAGGAGAGGCCCCTGGGCCTCAGTCAGCCCCACGAGGGAATCCTGAGCGCCATGAGTGAGCACAAGCATGGTCGGAGGGGACAAGTCCTCATTTATTAAGGCCACTGGTGCCTTTTGAGCAGTTCTCCAGGGTCCCTTTCATCAGCTCGGTACAACCCTGCTTCTTTTGCAAGATCTCTAATTCCACTTTGCAATTGCTTCCTGTTGCTTCCTATTGTATATTATTCAGACTTTCCAGCCATAGTAAAATATTTCCCTGAAATCTCAGTGGTTGAACCTCCAAAGGCATATTTCTCAATTTGGATAGTGTGTGTCCAAAGTGTGAGGCTTCCCCAGGGAGCAAGCCTGGAGCCCTCACTCCTGCTCACAGCCCAGAAATGGCGTGAGCCCGTGTCGCTCACAGCCCACTGGCCAAAATTAACCAAAGGCACCAATCTAGCTGCAAGGGATGCTGGGAGATGCCAGTTTCCCGTGGCCAGAGAGAGAAAAATGAAACCGGAGCTGCCTGCCATTTGCATCTTGCGGTCAGATGTTCAAAGGAGAGTAGATAACAAGAGGATGGGTGTTTAAGTGGGGATTCATCTCATAAGTTAGGAAATATTTTCCTGTGGCCCTCGCTTCTGCTGTTTCGCAGCATCTCTGTGATAAGGAACACCCAGCCAGCACTCTTTCCTCGCGTGCTGTGAACCCCCACAGCATTGCCTGGGGCGTGGCAGACTAGGAGCAGCATTTAGCATCCACACAGCTACCCCTGTCCTGCCCCAGTGCCCTCGGCATGCTGCTTCCAAGTGGGGTGACATCTCCCTGAATTAGGGATTCCAGCTGGTCCCCACCTCTCCTCATCCACGAGGAATAGCTGGGGTCTGGGTGTGACAAGGGGCGGCTTCTCACCCCAGACTTGGTGCAGTAGGAGTTTCCAGGCAGGGGAAGATGGGAAGACACATTTTCCATTTTCTAAGACCCCATGAAGAGTTGCTGGTTTTATTTTCATTTTGCTTTGTCACTGACCAGTTTGAATTGCTCTCTCTCTCCCTCTTTAGCTCATCTCTCTCCGGTGCTTTAAACGCAACTGCCTGCCCGCCACGCACTGGGAAAATGTTGGTGCTTCTGGTGTTCATTATTGTTTTCCACATCACCTCCGCCACCCTGCTTTTCATTGCCACCATCAACAACGTGAGTCCCCTTTCCTCATGGCCACCCCAGAAGCCCTGTGTCCCAGTGTCATAAGAGGCAGGACTGAGAACTCCTTGGGGTGATGTGACCTGGGGTTGTCCTCCCCACTGGGCACACCTGTTTCTCTAGCACTGGCCAGGGGACTTGGCCTGCGTGTGGGGGTCAGCGCATCCCGCATGGAGCTGTGGGTGAGCAGCCCGGGTCCCCTCCTCCTGGATTCCCAGACAGAGGCCTGCGTGACGCTTGGGGTGTAGGAGGCCCTTGCAGATGTCTTACTTCATCCCTCTAAGGGCAGGTCTCCACTCAGCACTGTCGTTATTTGAGGTTGGATGGAGAGATGTCCCTTGGGGGCCAAAATCCCCCTCGCCCTAGATTCCCCCAGGTACCCTAATTGCAGGCCCAGGGCCATGCCCTCCCCATGCCCTCCTCATGCTTACATCCTTCCTGACTCTCTTGTGCTCCCATGAAAGATTTTAACTCTTTCCTTTAGTAGCCAGCTCGCAGCCCTCTGGCAGGATGCATCGGATCAATGACCTGTGGGCATAGATCGATACCCCTCCTAGCAGGCAATGAAGCTTTTTACCCAAGGTGCTCTGCGGCCCACACCCTGAGCCAAAGGCCTGGACATTTAGACTCAGAAAGACTGCTCAGGAAGCCAAAAAAATATGCCTTACAAGCAGCCCCCCACTCTGCCTGCCTCGGGGACTCCTGTGGATCAGTTACCATGACAGGAGCAGGGACCATCACGGCACCTGTCACTGACAGAGTGCCCGCTCTGGCCAGGCCCTGTGCTCAGCCCTTTCCTATGCATCACCCCATTTGATCCTTATGGGGAGTCTCTGGAGTAGGTCTTCTCCGGGCACTGTTTTGTGATGGTGGAACTGGCCTCTGGGCAGTTCAGGCACTGGCTGGAGTTCACAGCACAGTGAGTGGCAGAGCCAGAAATGGGGCCAGTCTGGAGGCCCCCGGCCCTTGATCTGGTAGGGGGGTGGTGTGTGACCAGCTCTGGGCTCCTGGATGTTTCTCAGAGAACTGCCATAGGTGGCCAGGGCAGGAACCACATCGATTGCTGTGGGTCTTTAAGTCCTTGGAATCTGCCACAACCCAGTCTGTGGAGTAGGTGGTACAGAGGGTTCTTTGAGAATCTCCTTTTTCTATTTTTGCATCTCATCCTTTGGGATTCCGAAAAGGTCCCAGACATAACGAAAGGGATAGACAGACATTAGCAGCAGAGAAGCCATCAGCCACAGCACCCGTTAATTCTGCGGGGCACTCCTGGGCATTTATAATACTGTGGCCCTTACCAAGAAGACACAGATGGGCTTTTGCTGCCAATTGGCAGATCGCATGGTATTCGCTGTGGGTTAGGAATCGTGCTCAGCATTGTCGGTGAGCATAGAACAGGAGCTCAGCGAACGTTTGCCGACAGCTCGAGTTGGGGTAGGGATTCCATCCTGGGTGGGTGGACAGCAGCAGGCAGGCCATCTTGGGGGCAGAGAGCAGCAGAGGCACAGAGAGAGAAGTGACAGCATCTGGACTGAAGGCAGGGAGATTTGTTGTTGGGTCCTTTCATCTGTAATAGGCTCCCCCCTTTTTATCCTTTTCCAACTCCCCTCTGACATGGCTGCTGTAGTTCACGTGGGATTTACCACTGTCTGCTCATAGTGCCCAGGCTGAGAGCCTCACCTCTCCTCTGCCCGTGCAGGCCCGGGCCCTCACTTACCTTTCAGCAGCCCAGCAGCTCGGGCACCACCTGGGAGTCCATTAGAAATGCAGGATCTCTGGTCCCCCACAAGGCCTCTCAAATCAGAATCGGCCTTTCCACCAGATTTCCTGGGTGAATCCCGTGAAGGCTGAGAAGTGCCGGTCCCCTGTGCCTCACACCTAATTAGGCGTCGGCGTTTGCGTGATTAACGGACAGCCTTCCCCGCCCCACACTTCCATTCCGTTACAGGCCTGGTGGGTCGCAGAAGAATTATTTGCAGATGTCTGGAGGGTCTGCGTCAACAACACGAATTGTACGGAAATCGACACCACCTTTCAAGGTGGGTATGAAGCTGACAGAAGGAATGTGTGGCTGAGGCCGGACGCGAGCTGCAGGCAGGAGCAGGTGGAGGAGCCAGAGGCTGAGGGCCCCCCCTCCCCACCGCCGCCCTGGCAACGTGGGCCCCGCCCTTGTCTTCTCTCTTTCTTGGCCAAAAAGAGCCTCTGCCGAACTCACCCTTCCTCAGCTTCTGCTCTCGTTTGGAATCTTCTCCCTGCTCCTCTTTTATCCAAGCCTCACCTCTAAATAGGCTCAGAGACTGAGATTGACATCCGCATCCCCTCCCACCACCAGCAGCCTCCTGCTGCAGGAATCCCAGGGCTGGCCTCTGAGCAGCGGGACCTTACCTTGGCCAGGTCATTTGAGTTCATGGAATCTCAGTCTCAGCTGTGAAATGGAGGTCATGGCAACGCACCTGCCTTGCCTGCCTCTGCGTGAGCCGAACTGCACGGAAGGGCTTCCTGAGCACAGAAGATCCCACTTAAAAACAGGCTAACTACTCACCTTCCCTGTGGAGTGACTGGTTGGTCGTGCTCTCTGTTGCACAGCTGATGGAAGGCGCTGTGGGGCCTGATAAAATGCAGGATGCCCAATTCAACTTGGTATCGAGATAAACAACGAATTTTAGTATCAGTATGTCCCAAATACTACGTGGGACATACTTACACTAACAAATTTCCATGTGCATTTGGGGACGATATAAACATTCAGTTCACAGCAGGCATGTATTCCCTGTTGGCCCATCACTGGGGTACCTGCTAAAAATGCAGGTTTCCTGGTGCCCACCCCAGAGTGACTGTATCATGATTTCAGGAAGAGAGGCCCAGGAGTCTGTATGTTGAACAAGATCCCATGTGAATCTCAGATTGGGCAAACGGGGATGCACTTCTCCAAGCCGGAGGGTCACAGCCTTGGCCCCCAGTGGAATTCCCTGGCGGGGTCTGCCACCCCCACTCCCCGCGCATGCCTGGTCCCAATGCCAGAGATTCTGACTTAGTTCATTTCAGTGCAGCCTGCTGGACTTGTGTTTTTAATGAAACTATAATTTACAAAGAAGAAAAGGCACACTTCTTAAAGGCTCAGTTCAGAGAGTTTTGACAATTATACACACGCCCATGTAACCACCATCCAAAGCCAGATAGCATCCTGACACTCCCAGAAGGACCTTCGGGACCCTTCCAACTCTCTGCCCACCACCCCCAGCCCCAAGGGCAGCCACTTCTGACGGCCACCAGGGTCTCCTGCTTTGTCTGTTCCCTGACCTCACAGAGATGGAGCCGTAAGGTGTATGTTTGCACATGTGTGCAGCTGGCTTCTTCCCTCGCCACAGGAGCAGGGCAGGTGTTACATGCTTTCCTGCAGCGGTGCCGGGAGGGGGCTGAGTCGTCAGTGTGCAGCCAGAATGAACCAAGATCCCTAGCTCTAGACATTCCATTAGGACTTAAAAATGATGCTTCCCACCTGTCGATTTCAGGCAAGATTGCTCAAGAAAGTCAGGGAAGTTTTGCTCCAGTTTGCTGGAACTCTGGGTGCTGTCCCCTCATCCGTCTCAGCTGCGTCCCGGGGAATAACATCAGCCCTCGCAGGGCACCCCCTACAGTCCTTACATGGATTATCCTGTTCCCTTTTCCTGCCCTTTGAGACTGGAGTGATTTACTGTCCCCATTCCACTGGTGAGGAAACTGAGGCCTACGCCATGGGGCTCAGCTCACAGCTTCAATCCTGCCCGCGCGCCGCACCCTCCGCCCACCACCCGCTCCCTTCTCTGCTGGAGTTCTGTGCTGAGCCCCAACCTCAGGCCCTGCTCTCTCGGGTTCATCTGAAGAAGGCCTCCCTTCCCTTGTCCCAAGCAGCCATTACAAGGATCACTGTCTGTGCTTGGGGGGCCAGCATGTAGTCCCCCATCCACTTTCAGAAGGCTACTCAGCCCTGAGAATCCCTCCAGAGCTCTTTCTAGGGCAGACCCCCAATCCTGACCCATCCCATCCCATCCCAACCTCTTGAACCAGAATCTGCCAGATTGGAATCTGAGGGTTTGTGCTTTTAAGAATCCCCCAACCGCGAGCCAAGCATTTGGGGAGCAGTGCCCAGACCAGGAAGAAGGCAGGGCAGGTGGCTCTTGCTCCAGGTTCCAGATAAGGATGCGGGGGATCCCTGGGGCAAGTGCACAAATGGGCGCTGGGGGCGGGGGTGTCACAAGACCCCTTGGCTGCCCTCGCACTCATACCGTGCAAATGAAAACTCAGCGTACCCTTGCCTCTTGTCACCCCCACTGGAGCTGGCAGCATCACCGAGCGCCCCGGAGGACCTGGGTGGTCTGTGGCGCTCGTTCAGGTGTTCTGCCCTCCCCACAGATTACTCTACGATGCAGGCGGTCCAGGCCACCATGATCCTGTCTACCACTCTCTGCTGTGTCGCCTTCCTGGTCTTCGTGGTCCAGCTCTTCCGCCTCAAGCAGGGGGAGAGATTTGTTTTGACCTCCATCATCCAGCTCATGTCATGTAAGTAATGCCGGGCTTCCCGGAATAAGCACTCCCTTCCCAGCCACCCACGAGTAGAAGCCGGGGGCCCCAAGCATGGCAGGTGAGGATGTGGAGAGGAGAAGTCGGCTGCTGCGGCACAAGGGATGTTTTATGCCCCGGAGTCTGCATTTAGCAAGGGGGTCGGGGAAGGCATCCTGAGCTGTGAAGGCTGAGCTTGTAGGGTAGGAGCTGATGTCTAGAATATGCTGTCTCGGCAGAGGGGAGGGGCATAGGTCCCCCAAGGAAAGTTAGGGCAGGGAGCCTCAGCCTGCCACTAACGTCTGTGGATGTTGGTGATTCAGTTAAGGCGCTTTTAGCCACAAATTCAGTTAACCAGACTTCAGCCGCAGAGACCTTTACTGTTTTTATATATAGCAAATAGCTTTTTGGTCAGGAAGCTCAGCAGTGTCATCGAGAATCCCCACTCTTTCCATCTCAGTGTCAGTGACAGCCTCCTTGTGGCCTCATGAAGGCTGCTGCAGCTCCATCCATCCATCCTGACCTGGCAGGATCTAAAGCAATAAGCAAGGGAGAGCCCAGCCACAAAAAAATACTTCCTTCTCCCTCATCTTTCTCTGTTCAGGGAATAATACTTGTCAGTGAAGGATTTTCTCTGGCCAGTACTGGGACACGTACGAATCCATAAACTATAACAAGTAAACAGGGACAGGATTGCCAGGGAGGTTTGGCAGATTGTGGCCCACAGGCCAAATCTGGCCCTCTGCCTGTTTTTTGTAAAGAAAATTTTATTGGAACCCAGCCCCTCCTACATGTTTATGTATGTGTCCAGCTGCTCTCACACTACAGTGGCCGAGCTGGGGGGATGCAACAGAGAGGGCAAAGCCTTAGGGTTTACTGTCTGGCTGACCCCTGGCTTAGCCCAACTACGACTTGGCCCCTGGGCTGGGGATCCGGCTGCCCGGATGGAGTTGGGTTCAGCTAGCAGGAGTGGGAAGCAAAATGGCTACAGGGTAATAATAGTTTGCCACATGATGGGTTGCAATCTTTCCAGAAGACTAAAAGAAATACCAACCATCATACAAGCTAAAGTTTGTCTTCCCTGACTTTCTTTCTGTAGGCCTGTGTGTCATGATTGCGGCTTCCATTTATACGGACCGGCGCCAAGACCTCCATGAGAAAAACCAAAGATGGTACTCCCAGGCCTCGGACGGCAGATTCGGCTACTCCTTCATCCTGGCCTGGGTGGCCTTTGCCTTCACCTTCACCAGCGGCCTCATGTATCTGATACTAAGGAAGCGCAAATAGTACACAAGGGCCAGGTTGCGTTCGCTGCAATACAGAATCCACATTCAGATAAACCGTTTTGTATATAATCTTTTTTTTTTTTTTTGTGGTTTTTCTAGCAAATGTTGTTTCCTTTAAAGGCCAAAGAGAAGAGTTTTTGCATTCTTGAGATGAGAGTATAGACTATGAGGCTGGAATTCAGAACTCCCGCCTGTCCGAAAGTCCCACCAAGACGCAGCCAACAATCGGCGATGCTCAAATCCAAAAATGTTCAGCGGGCTGTTTCTCGACCGTGGGGATGGCATGTGATGGGACCAGAGGCTGAGAATGGCGGATCTCGGGGGGCTGTCTTGCCTAGCTTTGGGCCACACCAAGCCCTCTCAGCCCAGCTTCCCTTCCCCAGTCTCTCTGGGTGAGTGGGGGTGCAGGGCCCAGGTGAGGGATGAAACCTCCCCAGATGTTTAGCCAAGTTCCATGTGAGGAACAAGCATAGTCCCTGGTGTCATGTCTCTCTCCAGACTAGAGCCCCCACCCTCCTGTAATGGGGTGTAACTGAGTCCAGAAAGCGCCACCAGATTTTCAGACTATCTGCTTGCTTTTGGGAAGTGGGTCTTTAACCTGGAGGTCAGATTTAAGCTCACCCTAAGGCACAGAATTTCAGCTCGCGATCCCTAGCACACCAAATAAAATGCAGACGATTGGGGTCCTGCCCTAGACCTTCAGAGCTGGTCTTCAGGGATGGGGCCTGGGAACCTGCATTTTGGACAGGCCTCTCGGGGATGCTGAGGTGTACCACCATCCCGGGGCCAGATGTAAATGCTCAAGGCCTCATCAGGTTGAGTGGGGAGGTGCAGGCTGAAACCCTGGCCCCCTTCAGCCTTGGAGTCCCCCCTATCTCTTCCACAGCTGCCTACATCTGGACCACCCGAAGTCCAGGCCCTGGCCAGGCCTCCTGACAGCCAGACACCCTGGGCATGTAGCCTCCTTCCTCCAAGCCAGAAGGCCTCTCCCTTCTCTTTCCGCCCTGCCTTCTAAGCTGGCCAGCCTCTCTCTGCCCGTTTCTAGTGCCTCAGAGGATGCCTCCACCATTCATTCATTCATTCGTTCATTCATTCATTCATCAACATAGATTATGGAATGCTTGTTGCCTGCCAGGCACAGGACATACGTTGAGACATTCTCCTTGTGGGGCTGATAGTCTATTGGAGGAGACGATTAAAAACCAGTGAGGAAAGCTGAATACAGGTTGTCATGGAGGCTGCAAAGAGTACAACCAGGGATTCCAAAGAGGGGCCATGGGGCAGGAGGGAACCTGCTCTTTGCCTGCCTCCTTTTCTCCTTCTGGAAGCCTTTAGATCAGCTGAAATACGCTCCAGGGCAGAAAGCATTCATTGGGTCGTGTTGTCTCTTACACCCAGAGAGCGCTCACTTCCATGAAGGGTCCCAGGGTCCTGGCAGCAGATGAAACTGTGAGGTGCTTGCAGATCGCCGTGGCCTCAAACTTAAGTGGTCGCACAGGCCTGCCAGGGTCTGGGTGAGGCAGCACCCCTCAATTCTGAGGAACACGGTTTGCAGAGTTTGCCCTTAGTTGTGAACACTGTGAGGTGTGTGGCATTGCAGGGGACCTCGGAGGTGCTGATGGCGGAAGTGCTTTGCGCCCCACTGTTTTCTGTCCTGTGTTTTGCGTGCGGCCAGGGAGGTGTGCCTGGGCCTGTGTGGGACCCGCCCACCAGGTCTTGCATGTGTACTGTTTAAATGCTTCTGCACTTGACTTGCTGAGTGGACTGCTGATTTGCTGTCAGCCCAGTTCTAGAGGACCTGGGGTGTCATCTGGTTGGGGTAGGTTTCAGGCCCGTGAACAGCTCTTCAGTGCAGCTGGGTCTCCTCTGTGTCTGTGTCTCTTCTCTCCTTCACTCATTTTTAACTGAGTATGAGGTTCTTACCCCGCCTTGGGTACTGTGGGAGGCTTTGAAAACACACACAAGTGAATCCAGCCATTTGCCCTAAGACAGGACCCCCTCCCCACAGAGAGGCCACCAGTATAGTGCAGGGTGATGCGGGACCAGAGATGAGAAACTGTCCCCTCCTGCCTCCATGGAAGCCTGTCACAGGCATGTTATAGGTCGGTGGGTGGGTCATACTCCTGGGGCTTGCAGGCTGCTGCTCCTTGAGCTTCATGAGGAAGGGGGATCCAGGTTCCCCCACTCTTTCTACCCTGGTGGCTTTTCTGTAATTTTCTGGTAGCCATGAAGGAAACAAACAAAAACCCATAAACCGGAAATCTGGAAAGGCTAATCCCCAAGCAATGCCTGAATTTCCCTTCCCTAAGAGCTTCGTAGGTGTGTGAGCGTCTGAAATAACTCCATGGCGTTTCCTGGCCAATCACCACTGCTGTACAGCATTCAGGGCCCGCCTCCGTGGTGCCATAACTTTGTGAAATGTGAGAGATGCCTTTTCCTCCCCCTGGGGAAGCGCGAAGAAGTGATGGCAGAGGGAGAAAATACCCAGCCTCACCCATAGGTAGGATCGGCCCTCACTTGGTGCTTATTAGCGGTTATGCAAGAACAAGAAGCAAAGATTAGGACCAAATCTACTACTGGTAACAATGGTATTTGAAGGAACTGTAGGCGCATTTTAGGACTTTTTTTTTTTTTATAAAGTACTGTAATTCTTTCATTGAGAGGCTGTGGATGGAGACAGACTAACTCATTTTGTCATTTGCATTAAAATTACTTTGGGTCTCTGTTCAAATTGGGTTTGGAGAATTGATTTGCTCTGCGTGGATGTATATATTCATACCCGAATATGGGAAAATCAGGAGACATTCCCCGACTCTCACACTCTCTGCTGGAGGCTGTGTGCGTGTGTGCATCCCTGACCATCAGGCTGAAGTCTTAGGATGCTCTATTAACTAGACCCCCCACCCTGCCCCCAAGCCTACACGTACACACCGAACACCGTAGCTTAGGTAGAAACTAGCCTCGTTTTAGATCTGCCTGGGTGGGGAATTACTAAACTTGCTAATAGCTGAGAGGTTACCTAACAATACAGCAAAGGTGGACAGTTTTGTATATTGGACAGTGGTTTGGAGGAAATGCTAAGGATACTCTAAATTTGAATCTTGGTTTGGAAACAAATACGATTTCAGGGTAGTTAGATACTTTCCTACTTAATGTGCCTATAAAATAGTCTATTTTCTATGTTTTGTATAATCTGAAACTGTACATGAGAAATAAAGTCTAAAACCAAGCTGGCCGGATCAAGAGACTCTGATGTTCCCAGTTACTGCCGACGTCAGGGGTAGAGCGCTGCCACTTTGAGTGATGGGGATCATTCGTCTTCTCACCGAGAGGATCCTGTGCGGTTTTGAAGGGAGCAGTTGATGCCCGACAGTTTGTGTCTGCCTATACCGTCTCTATTGCCCTCTGCCTGGACCATCTCCGTTCCCCTCTGCCTTCTCCATGGGACTCACTCTTGGCCAGGACCCTGTGCTTCAAAGGGCTGTGTGCCTGTTTAGTGACCTGCCCCCACCATCTCAAACCTTAGTGATAACTGAACAAACAGACCCACATTGTCAATTTGCGATAGTCCCCACAAATTTTGCAGCCAGTCCTGTTCTTCAGTTTGTATTTAATAAAGGATTTATTTTTGTGTTTTTACAGGATGGAGGGATGATGAAAATCAGACTGTCTTTACAGCACACTCCGCTAAAGACAGAACAACTCAGCCAGAAAGAAAGGTAGCTAGACAATTGATTGAAAGACAGGTGATAGAAACAGAGATCTTCAATTTCTACCTAAGGAATGCCAAAAGGAGTAAAAGCCATCTAAGAAACCTACTTTTCCTTACCTCCAAACAGGGTTGCAAACTAAAACCTCCAGCAACTACTGTCTGCATTCTTTGTATCTAGAGTTTTGTGTGTTTTGTTTTGTTTTTGTTTTTTGTGATCCAGGTGGCAGGTGGATGGTGGTCACCCCAGAGCATTCATTTTTATATTTCTTACAGGGGATCAGCATGTCCATTCATCCATTCAGTCATTCAGCAAGTATTTGTGGCCTAACATATGATTTATCTTGGAGAACATTCCGTATGTGCTTGAGAAGAATGCGCCTTCTGGGGCTGTCGGACGGACTGTTTGTAAATGTCTGTCAGATCCGTTTGGTCTGAAGTACAGCTCAAGTCTCATGGTTTCTTATTGATTTTCTGTCTGGATGATCTGTCCACGTCGAATGTGGGGTATTAAGGTCCACTACTGTTAGCGTGCTGCTCTCTCTTTTCCCCTTCAGATATACGGCTTTCCACATCTAGGGGCGCTGATGTTGGCTGCATCAGCATTTGAAATGATAAGGGGGTCAAATCACCATGATCAGCAAATATTCGTGTGCGAGGGCATAAGCATTGTGCTAGGTGTCAGGTATATCATGATAAACGTAGTCCCTACCTTGATCCAGACTTAGTCCCAGTTTTTTAAGAAATTGAAGAGAAGACTAATACTTGGTGGCATGAGAAAATTATACGAAATTCAAAATTCAGTGTTCCTAGATAACGTTTTCATTGAACCTAGCCATGCCCGTTTTCTTAGATCCTGCGTACGGCTGCCTTCCTGCTCCAAGGACCGCGTGGCCACAGAACCTGCCTGGCGTGCAAAGCCTGTCTTGGTAGAGAAAATGTTTCGCCATCCCCTGGTCTAATCAAGCAATAAGGGAGGGAACTATCTTTTTCTGTGTCTCTTTTTCTAGTAACGAGAAGAGCTTTCCCAGAACCCTCTAGTGAAATCCTCCTGATGTCACTGGCCTGCGGATTCTAATTTTTGACCTTATTCCCAATCACTGGCAGAGGTAACTGAACTACCATGATTTACATTGACCTCTGAGCTGGGGATCGAATTCCTTCAGTGAGGGATATACTTAGGACCCTCACTCTTAGAAGGGAGAAGAGGGGATTGACCATTAGGGAGGCAACCAGCCGTGTCTGCTACATTTATCTGTTTGTAGCCAACCTGGTATGAATTTTTTAAATTCTTAGATACCCGGGAAATGAACCCCATCCCAAGAGGTCTGGGAAGCCGAAACCAATTGCCACTTCCAGCTCCCACTCCAGGATCTCTTGAGGACGTGTTATCCTTGTTAGTAGGTCTGGGTGTGGCTTCTTAAGGCCCCGCAACCTATGATCAACAGCTAAGTCACACACTCCCAAATGCACTGAGGATGTAATGGGGGAAAAGGAACAGGACGCCTACAGTAAATGCCCCCCTTGGGGAAATGGATGAGCTGGATGAGAATCAAGACCCAGAGCCCAAAGCTTCACTGTCAGTCACTCTTACCAAGAACACCCCTCGCTGGAGCTCAGTGACATCAGTGGTGCGTCAATCCACAGCTGGTTCCGATTGACGGGAGATACTCATTCAGATGGGCAGTGGGGAGGAGGCTCCTGCCTCCTTCCTGTGGACGTGAGGCCTGGTATCTTAGAGATGCCCCCGGGCTGTTGGGTGGTCACAGGCTGTTCTCAGTTATGGATGGTGTTCCTTTGGCCGTGAAAGGCTGAGCCAGCCAGAGATCTTTTCTAGATCTTTTTTTTTTTTAAGAACAAACATTTATTATTACACAAATTTTGACAGGAATCTGGGAGCAGCATAGCTGGGTGGGGGTGCCCCCTTAAGGTCTTTTATGAGGTGGGCCTAATCTTTCAGCCTAGGAATCCTTGTTTTATACTCCAGCCTCTGTTTCCTGAGGCAGGAACTTCAAGCTCTCCTAATACAAGCTGTCCCTAAGCCCGTTCGTCATCTGGTGAGAAATGCTAGAGGATCTGGCATATCTTTCTCTGCAAACCCAGACGTCTATTCTGCTCAGCTTTTTGCCTCCACAGCCCGATCCTTCCTTTAGAGCAGGGTTTAGCAGATTCCTGGCTTGATGGTCAAAGGCCTGCGTTCTAATAGCCCAAAAGCGAAGAACGTTTCTCCATTTTTAAAGGGTTGGGAAAGGTGCAAAGAAGACCCTGCTACAAAGAGCTGTGGCTTCTAACCTCAGATATTTACTACCTGGCCCTTTACAAAGTTTGCTGACTCCGTGTTCAGAATTTGACTTGTCATCCCTGCAAATCTCCCAATCACTGGATCCTCCATCAGTTTACACCGCAGGCTTCTGGCAGAAAGCATCTCAGTAAAGCTGTATTGTCTTACATTTTTGCTATGAAATGGACCATCTTCAGCCCCAAATTGACATTTTCTTAGAAGACCTTATTAAGATTCTAAGAAGCAGCCAATCATAGCAATATCCTGATGGGTTTCTACAACTTTTTCTGATAGGACAACATCCATAGGTACCTGGTTGGTATGAAATAGGTGACAGTTTAAATCAGAGTCAAACTATGTACAGTCCATGAGCCAAATCCTGTCCCACACCTGATTAATGAAGTTCTGTTGGCATCCAGCTATGCCTACTAGTTTACATATTGTTCAAAGCTGCTTTCAAAGGCAGAGCTGGGTCTTTGCCAAACAGACCATGTGGTCCACTAGGTCTAAACCTTTTACTTTCTGGCCCTTTACAGAAAAAGTTTGCCAAAACTTGGTGGCAACCAGCGATGCAAGGGGCACCATTTCCCAGCCTGGAATGACAGGTCCTCGTTGCCTTCTGTTCTGTCACTTCCACAGGGCCAGTTGCACCTAAGTGTGTCTGTTGCTCGTAGCACCCAAATTTGGTATTAGTCAGGGCTCTTGGTTGCAAGCAAGGGTGGCTCTGGCTGATTTTAACAGAAAAGGAATTTATTAAAAGGAAGTCAAGTTTATCAAAAGGAAAACAGGCTTGGAAGTGAGCAGCTACATCCACCACGGAGCAGTTGGTAAAGGAACTATTGCCCCCACCACCAGGTGGTGCCACTTGCACCACGACCCTGATCCAACAGCCTCCGGAAACCCTCTGTGCTCCCTACCTCTGGAGTGGGCGTCTGGCGTGGTGCATCTGATTGATGGAGACCAGGTCATGTGACCGCACACTCACTGCATGGGGGGTTGGGGAGTGATTATCAGACATTTTCAGTTTCTGCAGTGGGAGGAAAGTTCGGCAACCCACCAAGACTCGGAAGTAAGGAAAGTCCCCAACAAAGGAAGGACATTCAGATACTGGGCTGTCAAACAGAACGGCAAAATGCCTTCCAAGTCCCATCAGAAGCCAGTTCCCTATCAACTCACAGCTAAGCTCGTATTCCTATTCATCCATATCCCACCTACATGCTCTGTGCTTTTAGGTGTGGACAGCCTCCGCTATTGTTTACCGAACGTTTTTCTTGAAAGCAACACATTTTTTATATAAATACATATTCAAGAGAAAACTCTTAAGTCGATAATCAGCATCAGTTGTCATAAGTGACCCAGTTAAAAACTAGATACGATTAAAAACAAGAACGCTATTGAATGCATATTACAAACTCTTGTCAGCAGGAGTTTTGAGCCTGGGGGCTGCTCTTTCCTAGTTAAGAAAGGAAGTTCATAACAGATGTATAGGTGGTAAAAAATGACCAGGACCACCCCCCGCCCCCCTCACACGCTTGATGTAATCAAAAAGCTAGAAAGGCAACAGGAGCCTGATAGCTTCTTCCCATGCAGTGTGTCCTTAGGTGCCACCTAAACCGGTCGGGTACCACTGGAGACATTTGCCTGTGTTTCCAATCCTTAGTTTCCAGTCGTTGCTGTGAGGAGTCACGTAACATGAACTTATCTCACATTTCTCAAACCAGAAATTTCAAATCAGGTTCACCAGTTCAGCAGGGCTGGTTCCTCCTGGAGACGAGGGGAAGAATACACCTCCTCCATTTGGGAGAACATGCTTGGCCAACTGCTAGAGTTTTTGCCAACCACCCACATACCTTGATGCACAGCCCGTCCATCCTCAAAACGGGCACTCAGCATCTCCTCTGTGACCTCCTGCCTCCCCAGTAGGGGGACCTGTGATGTCACCGGGTCACCTGGATAATCCAAGATCCTCTCCCATCTCAAGATCTTTAATCACAGCTGCAGAAGTGCCTTTGCCATGTGGGGTAACATTCATAGGTCCTGGCGGTGAGGATGCGGGTTCTTTAGGGGCTTACGACTCTACCTACCACAACCCTCCTTGCGATCTTGTCTTTCTTATATGGGTCCGTTGGGGGGAGGGTGTAAGACACGTAAAAAAGCATGGACCTGACCGTCTTCACTGTGAAAGGCAATTCACAAGTTGTGTTCTGTTTCTCTCTTGTCGCCTTTCCTGGGTCTCCTGTTTCTGAACTGGGTTT